TTTGTCAACGATAAATCTGGTCGAAAAAGTCTTAAAGACTTCTCTTGTTAGATGCTGAAGCTTAGAAGATAACAGCATACAAGCGACAATCCGATACCTGGTAAATAAAACGTCAGGACATTAAGACGACATGACACTAAGACGACACATGGGCGTTTATGCAGTTATAATAAACTGCTACAATTTAAGCGGTTTATATTTCTCAAAAATACAACTGGAGAATTTGCATGTAGCATTGTTTAACAATTGGAGAATCGTTTGTTGCGAACTATTCAATCCATTAGTTTTGTGGAGTCTTTATTGAGGAGTTCAGACGGACAGCCATTAAAGATTTTACACCCAGGTGATTTTCTTGATTTTAGGACTACATGTAATTTTGCTGAAATCAAAAGCCTTTTTTAAAATCAAAAGACCCTGAAATTGTTTTTCAACTCAAGAGAGAGGTAATAAAAACACGATTTTGTTTTGATACTTTAGCGTCGAATAATGATGTTTCTTAAAATAATCCTACGAACGGCTTTTCAGCAAATTTCCATGTAAAATTGTGGTCTGCGGCGTAAAAACACGGTTTGCTTTTAATTTCAAGAAAGTAATCGATCTATCAATATGTTCGACCCAAAAAAAACTGAAGTACAAAAAGAAACTTGGCATTATGAGAAGAATTTGTAGGGATTAACAAAGAATTATCTACCACCAAGTTCAAATTTAGCTGCTGAAAAAACTTTAATGCTTAGAGATCATCGTGTTTGTGTTCATTCGTGAATGCCATTTTTTGGACATGTTGCTTGTTCATGTTAAAAAATGCAAGAAGGGAATAACAAAAATCAGTCGGAGTGACTCCAGTTCAAAGATGAACAAATTGCACGGTGTAATTTCCCCCGAGGATAGATTCATTTCATTCAGCTTTTGTTTCATTGCCCAGCCCAACCATACTTTTTATCAAACTTTGCGCCCGTCAAATAAATCAGCCGACGTCGATATTAAAGACGCTTCCAATTTTCAAAATGGGTGTTTATGTTTAGTTATAACTTCCAAGCCGGATATTAGCTTTCCTTATCATATGAAAAACGTTAATTTGAGTTTTTTTTCACACCAAGTCTGGGTTGCTTTGAAAAGAAAAAGAAATTTATTTTACTGTTTTATATGAATTTTATTGACATTTCACAAGTTGAGTTGAAGACTACATCTGTAGATATGTTTTTTTTGCCAGACTGTTCACATAAAAGACATTCCGCTTCATAGATTAAAAAAAGAATAGGGTTTAAATTTCTTATCAAGAGTAAGACTTAAAACGCAAGACGTTATTTGGCTTAAATCAGATTACGGCTCCACTAGGATTCAATAAATTATCAAATTATCTTCCATAAAACACCTTTGATGTCAAAAAATCAGTTGAAATAATGTAAAGGTAAGAGATAACTTCCATGTAAAACTTAGCCTTGCTCCCTTTACAGTTGTAGATGAGGTGATAATCTCGTCTAGTTAGATATTTTGTAGTTTGATTCATGCTTTGTCACTAGGGCGAGGGACTTTTATCAGCCAAGGAAAACAAGAATGCCTGTACCATGGCAAAGCCTTAAATGTCCAAACTGCCCTTAGGTCTGGAACAAATTTTTGTTAACAATTGATAATAATAGCAATCGTATCAAATTGTTTTCAAGCAGTTACATTGGAGGTAGTTATACAAAATTACAAATAACAAAGACAAATATACTGCCAGGCAGATCACAATTAGACATACAGATCCGTTTTTAGGTCTCTCAGTGCTGAAATAAGCGATTTATATTTTTGATACATTATAAGAGCTCATCTTCTCAAGGCTTACAAAATCGAAAAAAAGACAAAAAACAAGGATAGCTGGTTGCTATGCGTTTAGTACAGAATGTTCTGAGCATATTCTGATGAAGATAGATGAAACGTTTTTTTTTTCAATTTTTTTTTCAGAAATCGTTTTGAAGTTTTATATTCCAAAAAAGCGCTAAAAGAATTGGCCTTACCAAATTTTCATGGCTGATCCTTTTATAATTAGCCTGCTCGCTGGGACCCTTTATATAAAAAAATTTAAAGGTCGTTTGTAAAAATATTGAAAAGGCTTCATTATCGTAAGTCCTTGCCTCCATTACGATGATTTTTTGGGATAAGCAATTTTGCGTGAAAAAAAAACAGAAAGATACAAACCCGACCAAGAAAATCCTGCCCATTTTTGAAATGTTGGGAAAAGTATGAACAAGCGATCAAGCAATGAAAGGAACACACCAAAAAAATCAAACCCTGATTCATTATCCAGAAAAAAGGTAGTTTATAAAATATGATTGATTGCGTCAACTTGCTGCGAGCAAGAAATTTGATACTTTCAGAAAGTTTTGGATCACAATTCAAGACAAGACTGCTCGTATCAGGGCGAAGCCCTGAATGTTGCGACTGCCTTTTAAGGTTTTATGCAGAAGTAATAACATTAAAAAATTAAATGTAATAAAATAAAATGAAATTTTTTTTTTAATTTGAAATTTTTTAATGAAAATCATCCCCCCACACGCCATATAAAGTACAAAACAATAGATTTTGATCCTTGTAACAAATCATTTTTGGCAAATAAGCTTCTTTCAACCAATTTGGAACGATTTCTAAGACGGATTAACTCTCCGCTTACGCGTTAATAGTGCGAAATATATCGCGCGTTAATTGTCCCAAATTGGCCGAAATGGCAATCTTTAAACCCCCATAACTTCGCGAAAAATGATCACAGGTGAAATATCTTTTCAAATTTGAGCTCAGGACAACAATACCTATTGAATGATAAAAGAAAATTCCGTCAAAAATGGCTAGTTAAAAAGTCGAAATTTGTCTGAAGAAAAAAAAACCCAACCCCGAGCACAAATATTCCATTACTTTCGTATCGAAAGTCGGAACAATAAGCTTTAGCATTTTGCGCTTTCTAACAAGTATTGACTAATTCCAATCTTTTTCACACCTGCTGACAATCTTGCTACACTCCGTAACCCCGAAATTTTGTTAACTTGACTATCAGTACAAAAATTTGTTCAAACTTTGAACCTTTTTTCAGACTGCCCCCGCTACCTAAAGAAAATGCATCGTTTAGTTTTCTTATAGATCTTTGAGTTTGAGTCGATAAGTGTTTCGTACCAAAAAACAGTTTTAATTAACAATTTCAGTTTCTGAAATTCTAAACAAATTTGATGTTCTTGCGCGTCCTATTCGTTTTTTGAAGTCCACTGACAGTTTATTCGAACCAATTATTTGCTCCAACTCATGGAGGGGTTTTGAGACAAGTGAATTCGCCGCATATCCTTTTTGTTAATAACAACTAGAAATTTTGTGACCACCAATTATACCAGAGTTGCCTTATAAGATAATTTCTAAATGTTCATCGGTAAAATAGCGTTCAGATGCTCTACGAAACTTAAAAAAAAATTTTTTTTTTATAGCAAAACCGAGTACAAATATTCCGTCGTTTTCCGTTGTACCAATTCTTTTCACACCTTAGATTTTGGGGACGTGATAGTTCAGCTGGCAACAGACATGCTAACAAAAACAACTTAAAATTTTTCATAAAATGGTATAGAGTTTATAGGAACCCTCTTACAAAATGATTGCGAGTTAAGTGGTTGACCTAATTTCAATAGAATGAACTTTCCGATTCAGATTACTTTCGGACCCTTTACATTTTGGCTTAATTTTCAAATTTTAACCGTTTTCGTTTCTCAGACAACTAATTATTCAGACTGGAAGCTACGGATTATATCTCCAATAATTTTTTCTTCGTTTTCTATTATCTTTTTTTCTAATAACTTATTCTTATGACTCATTTACCAAATCAGTCTCCACTTACTTAATAATAAATAAAGATCAAAAATGTTCTACAAATTTCAAAAAAACAAAACGATACTTTAGACTTGAATAGAAAATATATGGAAATATCCACAGCAGAAAGTCTTCACACGGAATTCATTTTTTGCACTAAAGAATACTTCAAAATTCTCTAAGGAGGAAACAAATGGGACAACTTGCTTAGTTACATAAAGACCTTTTCCCAAGTCAACCAAAAACTGGATAATAAAGGAATAATTTTTATAAAAAAGGTTAAATGGACTGTCTTAAAATCTAAAAAGTTAACCATTCTACTCGATTGATGATGCTCTGGCCTTCGAAGGCGAGTTTTTTTTGGTCATTTTTAGTGAACTAACTAACCAATACCAGTTATGACTTAAAACGACATGCCACTTCGCATATTCGCATTTTTCAAAATCTAATCGGTACAGTTTGTTTTCTAATTGATACAGTTTTTGGAATTCAAAAAAAACTACTAACTCTTTTTAATTTTCATTTTATTTTAAAAAAAAACATTAAGGTTTCAATGTTAGCTTAGAACAAACCAATTACGCAGGCTCATCTTTTCACGTGGACGAAAGCCGGATATTGGAAAATTGACGGATTAGTTGAAGCCGCCTACCATTTTTAAGTCGACTAAATTACTTTTTTAAGCTCTGCGGAGTAATTGTTACAAAATTTTCTATTTCGTCAAAAAAACTCACATCCTTTTTTTGTTGGCACTTATTTTGAAATTATTATAATGGATAAAAATGTTGCGGAAATTGGCTGTACTAAGCGGGGATTTGGAGGGGGAGGGGATCGATTAAGACCAACTAATTATCTAAGGGTACAATTTCACGACACACATTTTTGACCAACTGACCTTAAAATCTATCAATTTTCTAAAGGCTTCTGAAAAAACGCAAATTTTTTGTTTTTCAAAAAGCCCAAAAACTGAAAACCGATGTCATCAAAAGTTCTCATTAAATTCCATCCCCTCTTTGAGAAATTATACCCCCAATGCCTAGGTAGATAATTGGTTAGTCAAGTTATCTGGGGAACTCTTAGGGGGGGGGGGCTCCTTAGGGGGGCTCCTTAAACTCTTAGGGGGGGGGGCTCCTTAAACTTGATTTTTTTTTACCTTGGTGTGAGTCATTGAGTTTACTAACCTGATGCGTTTAGACTTGTCTGGTACAATTTGGTGGTCAGTCCATCTTTTGCTCTCGTTTCATATTTATTCAGAATTCGCTGTCGCGTTTGCAACTCGTCAACTAGTCCGTGCAGTCGGTAGTATTTAGCTTCGTCGATCAGACGCCTCGTCTCGGAAAATTTTTCGGGTAACGTCAAAGTGTCGTTTCTTAAGTAGTCTAATATATATCTGAATAAATTTCCGTCTCTATCTATGAAAAATCGTCCTCTTGTGTCTCGTAAAAGTGGAACAGAACTAGAATTGTTGAGTTTGGAGAAAACTAGTCCCAAAAGAGAGTTCTCGTATCTTCCGAGCGTCTCAATAGTGGTCGTAAATGTCTGTCCTCCAATATTTAACTCGACAACTGTAGCGTTTGCAGGTGATAATAGTTCGACCGCTGACATAGCGTCCGGTTTGATTTCGCTCGATGACATTTCGGCAATAAGTAAGAATGAACCTAACACGAGTAAAAAATGTACATTTTAGAGGAACCTTAAACGGAAAAAAATAATTCAGTTTTTTTTTCTTGTAAAGGTATTTTTCGAATTTTTTAACTATTCAACCTCTTTCCAAAAAGGGGAGACTTTTTTACTAGGTGCTAGATTTACGAATGCTTAATCATTTAATTAGTTCTTTATAAGGAGTGGCAATTCCTCACTAGGTACCAAATGGGGGATAGTTAAAATAATCTTGTTTTTGAGGTTTTTTTTTCTTTCTTTTTTTTCTTTCAGGCTGATTTTTTGCCATTTGAATTTTTATTATGGCGTGATACTATGCAATGCATACAATTCAGTTAGCTTTGTTGAAAGTATATGATTTAATCTTAAAAAATCTCAGAATATGAATTTACGGTTATGAACGTAACCTGAAAAAATTGAGAGCAACTTATTGTTCTGCGTCTTCAGTTTGAGTTCATTTATGAATTTTTTTTTCAGAAAAAAAATATCATTTTAGGTGATATTCTTTTTCCTAAAATTGAACTTTTAAAAAATTGATTTTTTTTTCTAATTATCGCTTGGATCATTTTCGATCAATCACATAAAAATGCAAAATTTTCCGCTGCAAATGAATTGATTTCAAGAAGGAAGTTGCGTTTAATTTAATTTCTAGCCAACCATCTTGAACAATTTGATTGATCAGATGACTAAAAAAAGGCATATAACATACTGCTCTGGAAATTTTTCATTTGCAAAAAAAAAGAAGTTTTGTATTTCCAGATGATCAAAAAGGATAGCAATCAACAAAAAAATCAATTTGCCCTATTTCAGCGTATGTTATTAATTCAAATGAATTTAGAACTCGGAAAAAATAATTTCACAAAAAGTTAATTCATTTTGAGCGACCAGAAAACGTATTTTTTTGTAATGTTTCATAAAAAGGTCGCAACTAAAAATTCGTAGCATTTTACAAGCGATATTTGATTGGTAAACAATCGACCTAAAAATCGTAGGATTTGAAAAAAAACGTAGCATTCAAATTGACTCACTTAAGCGATGCATTACACATAAAAATATCATACGCTAGCGACGGACAGAAAAGATTTGAAAATTTTTAGAGAAACACAAGCTTTTTAAGCACGGTCAAAGTTATTGATATCAAGGCGTAGTCTTGAATTTTTCGTTTGCCCTTTAACCACTCTTAAGTAGTTTCTAGCGAAAAAGATTGAATTCCGATTAAATTAAAACGTATATATATATCGTTTGCAAAAGTTTTGAGGTCAGCGTATATAAATGTTTTCTGACTATTTGAAACAGTTTCAGTGAAAGTTAGTGAAATAAAAAAAACTAGTCGAGAGTGATCTTAATTTAAAAATGATCTATGTTAAAATTTTTGGCTACATTCAGTTTGTGAACAAACCGCATCAAAAATAAAAGTGATTGATCTGTTTTTTTTCTCATGAAATTTTGAGCAAAATATTTTGTTAAACTTAAATTGAAAAACAAAGTTTTTTTTGCATATTTGATATAATAGTGCAAAGTTTCACTAGTTGAAAACTAATCTCAGTGGTCGTGAATATTGAATTCATTGCAAAAACGATGCAAAAAGGTCGGTTTGATTTTTATTTGTGTTATTAGAAAATTTGAATATTATCAGCCTAATTTTATTTCAAAAGAAAAAAACATAGATTCTTTTGTTTTCAAGGAACTTCATATTTCAACGTTACTTTTTGGGTCTTAAAACAATTTTTCGAACAAACCAACACGGTATCGAAAAACTGACTTGAATCTTATTGTTCACTTAACATATGATATATATGCTTCATTCAGTAGAGTTTGTTGCCAATTTTTGTACCCTGCTATTTTGGCATCCGAGGAAAATTGCTATTTTGCGCATTTTGGATAGTAAACGCGCGATGTTTTTTGTTCATATGAGATGGCACATTAAATTGAAATGATGGATGTCGTTTGCTTTTTATCAAGATAAGAGGCGCTAAATATATTCAAGCGTACTTTAAACAGAAATTTTGTTCGGTTATTTCATCAATATTTCGACCAAAAACGTTTAAATTTGCCTGAAGTAGCCTTGAAACATTCAAGACTTCGCCGTGATGTAAAAACAGTTTCGTTTTTGCCTTTATACACAATTTTAATACGACAATGTTGCTAATTCATGGAGCAATATCTCATTTTGCCTGGCTGCAAATAATCAATGGCCCAAATTTTACGCAAAATTGTTACATATATTGAAAACAAATAGTCTTTTTTTTAAAATGTTTTGTATTAAAACCGAGTTTTTTTGGCAAAGATTTGTCGAAAGTATTTGTTAATCAGAATATCCTTTTTCGTTAAAATACGAGCTGGATAAAAAAAGCAACAGAAATTTTCAAGGAAAAATAAAACACAGGTTCAATCAAAAACACAGATTTTTTTTATAAATTTTGTGCCACATTTTTTGTTAACCTTACCGCTTATTAAAGTGTTAAATCCTGCCGACAGCACCATATTAAAATGTTAAAATAGTATACCCATTAAAACGCTAAACTAAACTAAGCTAAGATAAAGTGATACGAAAGTAAAACTCTAATAAAATGTTCTATAAAATACGAACACTGAAACGTACACAGATTCACTCCGAAGGAGTGTGTATCTTCAAGGTCAGACGTAACTAAAAAGTAGGTAATTATAATTAATTAGACAATCATGCAGCGCAATTGGCTTTTTTTTCTGGAAAAATAGAAAAAAAATTATTCAAAATCACTTACCTCATTCATTAACAAATAATTGTTTAACTATTGAACTTGATTGCAAAAGTTATAGCAAAACGAGAACCCAAAACCTGATTGATTGGGTAAGCGTTCTCCGACATGTAATCGCTTCAATTTTTAACTGAAGCTTAACCTAAAAGAGCCGGAAAAAGTTCTAGTATTGTATCTTATAGCTCTAGATTGAATTTATTTTTCATTTTTTGGAGCAATAAATGCAAGTTATTCATTTATAGATTACCAATGACTGTACTATAACATAACAGTCAAGTATATAAGTTTTATGATATGAATGGCAATTAAGGTTTCTGACTCTGTAAAATATAACCAACCTTTCGGCGTGAAATTTCTCTCCTGTACCGTTGAAACCTTTTTCTGGGAGCGCTCAAGTGCGACGATGGTAAATATTCCTCGGTCGCGCTGGTTTGCTTTTGTCCCGTTATAGGCGCCGCTTTTCGCTTTTGCTAATAATCGACTACTAATTCCCGTTTTACGCGCTCAACTGTCAGCCTATAATGGGGATTAGCCACGCAAGTTGTCATATATTGGAAGATTATAGATTACAATAGAATTGTTAGGCTGAACGTCAAGGTAAAAGGAAAACAATGCCCTGTTGATCCGTTTAGCGCTAAATAAGGACTAAGCAGGGCGCTTCATTAGAGCGAAACGGGAAAGCTGAAAACGCGGAAACAGGAAACGAAAGAAGGAAACTATGTTTACATTGGGTCAACTATAGGGCTTTTGAAATACAATCTAGTTCTATACAAACTGCGCAAATACAATCTCAAAATTGATTTCGGATTTCGTTTTTTTTCAATGTCTTTGTACGCATATGTAGGACTAACAGTGTGTTTGAATTGCAGTTGCAGAAATTTTTTAGGAAGTATTGTGTTACCATAATGGTACTTTGAAAGCAGACTCGACCGCAAAATTCAAACAATGGAAATTGAAAAAATAGACAAATTATAATGCTGCATGCAATTGGAAAATTTGAAGACGCTAAAAAAATTGAAAATTAGTTCTAAAATTAGTTTTGGAAAGTTAAAAAAGCTGTGATATATTCAAAAAGACAATGATAACATTAATGAGAAAACTGGAAAAGATACAAACTTGATTTTCTATTTAAGATCTGACGCACGTTAGACAAAATTTTCAGGAGCGAACGCGAATTTAGGGGGGAGGGGAGGGAGAAGAGGGGGCTTTTACAAGTGTTTCGCACTCCCTCTTAACAAGCAAAAGAACCCCCCTTTTGGTTTTGTCTTACGGTAACATTTTGGTCGATTTACCTTAAAAATGTGTAAATGCACCTTCGGCCTTAAAATAAGCTGAATTTGCCAAAGAGCGAGCGCTATAATAAAAAGGACGCGCTTTTTTAAAAATAAACGGCCTTTCTGGCACTTTTTCTTTTGAAAAAATTGCGAGCGGCGAAAATTGTTTTAGGGAAAAATATAGTGTTTTGAGGGAGCTCAAAAAATTAATTTGGTCGACGCAAAACAAAGGTCGACAAATTTTGGAAATTTTTTGAAAATTATTTTAAAAAAATTTTGCGACAATTTTTTTTCTTCAAATTGCGTAATCAGTTTTTTACCCAAGCAATTCTTTCCTTTATTTTTTGCATACTATAACTTTTCGCTTCGTTGAACTGAAAAAGTTGAATTTTGGTGGTTGTGGTTTGTAATCATTTTGCGATCTGCCAGTTTTTTATTAACTATTAGCAAAATTCATTTCATAAGCTCTCCAGAAAACAATTATAAGGTTTTGTTTTGCATTCCTTTTCAAAAAAAACAATAAAACAACCGGACTTTTGAAAGTTTTGATTACAAAATAATTGTTTCTCGAAACCCCAGCAGTTTGCTTCTCCGAAAGTCTCCAATTTAGGTATTGTTTAGGTAATGGAACTAACTACAAGGTGTAGAAAATCTATTAAACTAGTCCTGAACTATTGTAAGTGTTGTTTTTACCTGTCCTCCGTAAATGTGTGAAGTAGAAAATTTACTCTTTCGTCTTCAGGGAAAAAGCGTCGTGTAAGATTGTTCTGTCTTCCTGTTATTTTTAGAGTATAAGGAGCATAGTATATGTCAGTATAAAGAGCATGCATGTATGTGTTCACAATGTCCCTCTGCTGATAAAAAAGGAAGCAAGGGGCTATAGTGGGTTTAAGTTCAGCAATCGGTGATGAATATTATGGTACGAAATTCGCAATTGAGGAAAACTCTCATTTTTATCTCCGCCCAGCAGTAATTGGCGCCCGAAGCCCCCAGGGCCCTGTTTTATTAATTTGATCAATTGTTAGTTTTTCGTTCGCTTTTTAATCACGCAGGTGGTTAATGTTAATACGGGTCCCAACGGAGCGAAACGTAAAGTTGCAACGGAAGGGGTGAATGACAATGAATCTGTTTGACGTGCGAAGTTTTGTCATTACAAGGCATTAGTGTGATGAAGTTCAGTGTAGCATTTTAGATCTTAATAAAAAAAATCTGACTTGAAAAGTTTTTTTTTTGTTGGATTTCCGCATAAATTTTTCATCTGATTCCACAAGAGTGCAGCTATTTAAATGCCAAGCAGACAACTTTATAGCGGAATTGAATTTTTTAAATGCAGTTTTTGAAAGGTTTTTTTATGAGGTTTCACTGCAGATTTGATCTCAAAACTTAGACATTGCTCTCGTATACAATGGATCATTTCTGGTGAATGTCTGGCAAAATGAACCATTGGTGAATGTATGGTTCAGTTAGAAAGTGAATCAAAACAGTTCTGATATTTCACTAGTGCTAAAGACTACTAATGACTTGTAGTAACTAGTCACTCAACTGATTACTACGACAACAGAAAATGTTAAAACGAGACTAAATAGAGTTTAAAAGATTTTTTATCCAAATTAGTCCTCATTTTAGACTTTTTCCGCATTTGATTTTATGTAGGGGGGGGGGGGGGGGCTAGATCTAGCTGGCTGGTAAAAGTTGTTTCTAATTTAAGGTTCGGTATCACAATTTGATGTTAGATGAAAGCACCATTTTTCATCAGCTTCTCTTGTTTAGCCTAAGTTGCATATTTTTTTTCCTTTGCGCTTTTTATCTTTGTCACTATAGAAACAAAACTCGATTTGGATCAAACATCACTGAAAAAAAAACTACATTTTGACAGGATTTGTGTCATAAATTGCAAACCAGATTTGTGATTGATAAAGACATTGAGCAAAAAAAAAGTTAAGTTTTTGGTTTGCAGAGCCAAGCACAGTTATTACGGTAGCAAATTAGCAGAGGTCAAAAGGAGAAAGAGCTGTTCAATTTTTTCATGCTGTTTTGTTCATTTAATAATAATGCTGATAGAATAAAAAAGAAAGAAAAATTTCGAATGCTAATAAGGTGGATGAGTTTTTGCTGAAAGTCTAGCCGAACGTTTTGATAGTGAAACAAGTCCAAACGTTTTTACTTGTAACTGAAATTTTTTCTGGTTAAAACTCTTTCATCTCTCTAAAATTTTTGAAATTTTTAAAAGATTTTCAATAAATCATCATCAAGTTCTGATAGTATATCAAATGATATAATGAAATTATTGAACCAGTAATTTTGAAGAATTTGCTGAGTTATTTAACAATGTATCGAATCGGGTCAACCACTACTTGTTTAACTTGATTAATTTAAAAAGACAGTTGCAATATATGAAGATGGCGAGTTTAACAGCTCTAATAAGTATAGGCCATCTTCTTTGATTGGTAAGTTTTTTTGAAGAGTGTTTTTTCTTTACTGAGAGTCAATTGGGCTTTCATAAAAGGTATTCTACATCTGATGCGGAAGATTTTCTGCTAATACACTTCAAGCTCAATCGATAAAACTGGTTTCTACCGGTTTCAATAATCCAAAGAAAATTGTCGACATTGTCAACCACCTGTACTGATTCTTGAAAATGGAACGCTGAGGTGAGCGTGGATTACCTTTTGATCTAATAAAGAATCACTTAGCGGGCAGAGGCCATTTTGGGAAGCTGAATGATTTTACTTTGCATTGACTATCAGTGAATCATGCTGCTTCACGAAGTTCTTTCTTGTGCTCTTTCGAGTTTGTCCTCGCTTACATCAATGATTTACCCTTTCATTACAAAAACTCAAAAATTTTAATTCGTGCAGATGATACTGCCAATGTAAAAAAATTAATATTTTTTTCTGGTCGGTTCCCAAATCAGCAAATGGATGAACTAAAATTACCTGATTTTGAACATTGATAGAAAAAAAATAGGATTCACTCTAAGCCATAACTAGGAATGATGACTGAAAAAAAGTTAGTTTCGATCAGCATTTTAAAAACTGTTAAATTAATTATCAAAATTTTTTTGTCTTTTAATCTGAATAAGACACGTCTTTCAATTAGGCGACTGATCAAACACCAAGAGTCAATGAATCAATTGGATGATATGATATACGATTGCTCCTTAAAACATGTCTTATATGTTATTTTTAAATGAAATTGAAGCGCTTGAAGACCTTTTTTTCAAATGATACCGTCATTCTTTTTGGAACCTGATGATTTCGGAAACATACGAACCTGTAAAAATCCCGTTTAGTAGAATAACGTTTGAACGACCTGTTAAAAGAAGTAGTCAAACAACATTTGAACACCAGCTAAATAAAATATTTAAAAAACGAACAAACAATCGGTTTCTGAGATGACCCTCAATGTTAATTAGTTTTATTCAATATAGGGGCACTGATGTCAAATTATTAGTTAAAAATAGTACGATGAAAAATACAACTCTTTCATTGCTTCGATTTTATTTGAAAGAAAATTATTGCTCGTAATCCACATCAATTCAATTGTTTGCAAGATTTTAGACTGCTAACTTATTGATAACAAGGATTCATGTGAGATCGTTTCTCGAAAGCAAGAAAAAAACCGCAAACTATATGACGTTTGAAAAACTGGTGGGTTATCAAAGTTTTTATACTCCTGAGCTATACCTTGCTACGGAGCTTTTTTCTGGATTTTTGTAAATCATTCATGATATTGAGTTTCAGTTTGCATTTAAGACCGTATAGCCTTTCTGGAACTTGTTCACCGTTTACGCTGCTTGGGCCCATTTGATTATCATCTGTACAGAAATCTCCGTTTTGATTTACAGGTGTTATAGGGAATCTCGGCACAACTCACACATAGTAGTAGCAGTAATCATGTAAAGAAGTGTGGTTAAACCATTAACAGGGGCCTACGACTAATAAGTTTCAGAAATATTATAAGTTTGGTATTGCAATTTTTGACAAAAATGGGACCTCGCTGTTTTTTTTTACAAACTTTCAACGCTATGGTAGTCAGTTGATTACTGCTACTAGTAATCGCTTTTCTTTGAAACATTGAAAACTAGTTAAGTTTTGATAATTCAAATCAGTTTCACGTTCTTTTTGCCATCTGTTTTTTTTTAAAATAAGTGAATTATTTCACGCAGACAAAAAGGTCAACGTACCATAAATAGCTTTTGCATACTTGGTACTTTTCCTTTTTGAACTAAAATTGAAAAACTATAAAAAATCAAAAAAAGTAAGCATGGCAAAAAACGCAATTTTTCAACAAACATTGCCGTTTTGCGTCCAAAATTTTCCTGATGGGACAATCGAAATAATGATTCGTTTAATTAGCGTAAGTATTTCTTATCCATTTAGCACAAAAAACTCAATGATTTGATTGACATCTTGAAAAACTCAATGATTTGATTGACATCCTACGTGCAAGAGAAAAATCATTTTTGTTTGTACAAGACTTTTAAAATTTCAACTATCTAATCTTGTTTTGCTTAGAAACCTTCAGAGTGAAAAAAAGAATCACTAAAATTGAGGCGACTTTAGTCGCATACAGCGCCTTTTTTCTGTCCTATTTGGAAAAAAGCAATTTTTAATGTGCTGCAGAGAAAAATTTTTGATATTCAGAAACAAGGCTGGAGCACCAATCCTGGTAAGTCTTTATCCCTTTTTAGCGTTTTTATCAACCGATGAAATTTCTCTGAAAGTTGATTAGCTTTTTTTTTCAAAAAATATTTGATTAGTTTTTTTTAAAACACACCCGTACGCAGCGAAGGCTGCTTTTGTAGATAGAAAAGTTTTATAGATTACTTAGCCAAATTTTTTGTGTTTTTGTACAGAAATGATCTAATTTTTTCTTAGTTTAGAAATAAGCAACTTCTGGAAAGAAAAAACCAGAAATCAGTTCACTGCTCAACCGCAACGAGAGAAAAATGCTTCGAGTATACACAATAACAGTAGCAAAACAATGCAAATTAACACATATTATTACAAGTGTTGCTTTGCATTACACTGCTAAATTATTGTTCATTATTAAGTTATGTAGCATATCGCTTAGCACATCCGACCATAAATCGAAGCTCGGGAGTTTGGGTCCCTGTGCGGACCCGAACTTTCAAACTAAATTAAACTTTAATCATACTTTCAAACTAAAGTCTTTAGTTTGAAAGTATGAGGAAAATACAAAGACGAAAATCAATCATTTCATCATGAGAACAAAATTAACACTAATGATAAAAGTGATCATATTTATATTAAAAAAACAATGCCTGTTGAAAAAAACTGAATTAACCACATATGAAAATTTAATAACCACGGAGCTAGCCTCTAATCTTTTTTTATTGGCGGTTGGCGGTAGTCAAGACAACACGGATAATCGCTTCATATTGAAGCAACAATTAAAATTCAGATCACACAAGTTAAGTTAGAAAAAAAACAATGATGTTTAAGAGTTTCCAAGAAGTTTTAACAGTTTAATTTTTATTTTTTCAAAAAAGTTCCCTTCACTCAATGCTTTTTGAGATTGAAAAGCCTGCAGAAAAAGGTTATTGAGATGATTTAAAAATGCGTCGTATAAATTAGTCTCAGTGCAAATTCGTGCTATTCAACCTGAAAAAAAAACAGTTTACTACTTACTGAGGCAAAATTTTTCTAAATCCAAGTCTTTGCCAAATTGGTTTCAAAGTAATTATTAACTGTACCAGATGCATCCTTTTTTTTCAAAAATTTGTGTTCAAAACTTTTTAGCAAAAAGAAATGAGGTGAGATAATGTTGACCCGAATTAATTAAGACTGGAAGCAATGTACTGCTCTAATTTTCCAAAATCAAAACAACGGAAACAATTTTTTTCTTCAAAAAAGTTTCAGCGATCAAATGAAAACTTTCAACAAAAATTTTCCACCAAATAAACACATACACTCCCTCAGTTAAGAAATTCAACAGATTTTCAAGTCATTTTTTTGTAATTG